GAGCATTTCTGGTTAAAAATGTGGTTATTTTTCTATGAAGTTATTCTGCAATACATTCTAGTAATGTAGGAATACATCATACTGGTTCTGTGTGTATATATATACACACTATACTATATATATATACTAGCATAATATATACTGTAGCATATTCCTTTTGCCCTACTGTATATGCTATTTAATACCTTTGTATTGAAATAACTGGTTGTATTTTGGGTGATCTCAGCCATGGAGCTTTAATGGTCTCCAGTGAATTCTCAGTTTCTCCTTCTCTGTGTCTCCATGTCCCTTATATACAGCTTAGGTTCCCATCCAAGTTCAAACTCTGTGACATCCTTCCTTACTGTTGCGGCATTGAGAACTTTTCTATAAAATATCTTGGTCATCCTCTCTGATACCAGTAATACAATATTGCTGGTAGGTTGTAGATAAGAAGGTACAGGTGACTGGTTAAAATACAGGGTATCAAGACCGGTCCTGTTGGAGTGTGGAGCCTGTAGTGCAAAGTTCGTTTGTTTTTCTGCCACTCTCAGATGGATCACCACACATCTAATGCATTTCTGTGGCATGTTTAATTCTGTGATTTGTGTGGCTGGCAAATTCACTCTCAGAGCCACTTCTGTATCATCTGGCAACCAATTTCATCTACACTAGGGAGGAGTATGTATTTTTTTCTTATAATGATATAATGTGGTACAACTTGTTCTTGAAGCAGAAAACTTTACTAATAGAAAGAAACCCCCTGTATTCCTCGTTATACTTTTCAATGACTACAAATTCTGCTAATCAGTTTGGAATGAATAGTATGACTCTTTCATCTGTTTAGTATCTCTTTCTATTAAAAGCAGTACATGATTTGTGCTATATAGTCCATGACAATGATAAATATAACCAATACCGTATCTTCCACTTACTATCTGTATAATACCTTGAGAGTGTGTGACATTAGAGGGAAGTATTTTATTCCTTGCTCCATAGTGCTTACCATCCTTATTAGACTTAATACAATAAGAACGATGCACAGAAGGATGTAATATTGATAAACAAGGTTGAAAATGATACCGAGTTTGCTGCTTGCCCCTTTCTTCTTGGAACTTTACAGTAAGTCTGGAGATTTGGGTACTTTAAAATGTTCTAAAGAAGTTTGAAGGTGATGGGCAGGGATAAATTCTATTTGCTTCTTTACCGAACCTCATAAATAATTAGTTGGTGAACTATTTGTATTATTAACACTATTTTGTGTTAATTAATCTGTAATGAGAAACTCGGATTAGGAGTTTTAAGCTGAAGAAAATCATAATTCTTGCACAGTGTTCCCTTCAGTGATCAGTAGTTATTGAGAAAGCTGGGAGGAGATAAGAGGCAAGGCTGTTTTGTAGTGTGCTTCCCTCCTCTTCTTTTTTCATGTACTCTATTGAAAAGACCTGCCAGTTTGACAAATACCATCAGCAAGAAAGGAATTATTATACCTCCAGCCCTCGAAGGTTTCTTATCTCAAAACTGGCCTTTATTAAGGTTTTCCTTCAGCAGTAAATCCCTCTTAAATAAATTTCTGAGTACAGGAAATACTATATGCTTGTATGTATGTTTGTAAAAATACCAGAATTAATGTGCAGCGCTTTTCAAGATCAGATGAAAATTCATGGAGGTTTTCCTAAATTGTTTCCCTTATCATCAAAGGCATATGAGCTCTCACATGCTGTTTCTGTTAGTGTGGAATAACTTACAGCAGCAAGGACTTGATTTTAAAGTATAACATTAAGGTTTTGCTGGTTGGTTGTAGCGTTAAAATGTTTGAGTTTCATAGCTTTTATAATTGAAATATTTTTCCATAAATAGAAATTATATTAACGATTGTTGATCACGTTTTTCCAACAAATAATATTGCTCTTAGTTTGATTTTTTTTTTTTACAGAATTCAAACAGCATGGAGGCATCAAATGCCACTGTTATGCTGAGATATGAGGAATACACAACTTTTATATTTAATGCTATTCCTGCCTTCTTTGGAGACCTGTGGTCATAACTGGTGCCCTAGTACTGTGATCTCTTTTGTTGAAGCTGTTTCAGGAACACCATCTCTCTGGCATGTGTGTCCTTGCACCATTCTGTTTAAGAATGTAGTAGAGAAAATGAAAAAAGAACAATTGTGATGAAGTTATGGTAATAATTATGAATAATCATGGTATTAATAATACCATAACTTTTATGCTAATGTAATGTTAGCAATGATAGTAGCAGAAGGTAGAAGCTAAAACAGAGGCAAGATTTTGGAGATGCGGTGGCCTTATAAGACAGTGAATTAAATTTACCAACTTTCTTTTCATTAAAACTACTGAATTCATTGTGAGTCTACCATCTGATGTTGAAATTATTGCTGTTTTAGACCATCTGCGTTACTCTGGTAATAACATTCTTTTAGTTTCTGTTTCCAATTTATAAAAAGATGTAATTGATTTCTCTCTCACAGCCACAGTCATGACTCTGTGGGCTTGGGCTGTGATTCTGTGGAAGCAGAAGTCAATCTAACAGTGTATTACTGCCGTTTTGCCCATAGCTGTGCCATCCTGCCCCATCTCATGTGCTGGGTCCTCTCTTGCACGCAGCTGTTTCAGCATGGAATGCTCAGAGGGTGCTAACTGGTCAAAGTACTGCTGTGAATAATTTTCTGCATTGGAAGTGTCAGAACAGCAATGCTAGTGGACATGAACTGTTCTGACAGCAGGAATGAGAGCCAGTGTGGCCAGCAGCTGGTGACATAGGCTCTGTATAACGCTAACCTGGAGGACAGTTTGTCCCTCCTGGCTTTCCCAATGTCTATTTTTGTTGTTTTAAGCTGAGAGGGAGGAGGGGTGTTTAGGTTTCTTTTTGGTTTGTTTGCATAAATTAGTCCAAATTTTAAAGTTAAGTATGTATGTCTTATTTAGATGTGCCTGTCATTGGAATCTCTCAGGTAAAGGAATTCAGCAATATTAAGTACAAATCAACCTGTTTAATAATTGCATTAAACCCTGGAAGCAGTTACGTTTGAAATGAGTTCCCCACAGTCTTGATGTATGCCAGCAACCTTTTCTCACTGTTTATCTCTGTAGGACACTTCTGCTTCTCCGTGGTACTACTGTTCTTATTTGGTAGCTTCTACAGGAGTGTACTTTATCCGCTTCTGTATCTTATGGAGAGTATGCTGAGCAAATGGATCTTTTTCTGCATGTCCTAATTCCTAGACTGATAGCTTTGCCACTGTTTGAAAAGTGTCATGTTATTCTGGTTTCAAACCATGTAAAGGCAAAATTAAGTTAGTTTTCATTGAGAGTATCTGAAAGGACAATATAGTTGACAACAACCTCATATATGTGTGTGTGTATACGTAGATCTATATGTAAAGCCACACTTTTATTTTGTTTTAATTGGAGATGTTTCTCTCCCTTTAACTCCTTTTCAAATTCAGGTTTTTTCTTTACCTTTGTGAATATAGCATCTTATTTTTTTTTAAATGAGAAAACTGTAACCGCTGTGTCTGATATGAAAGGTGTCTTGAACCTGTCTCCAAAACCTGTTCTGATGACAAATTCTGCGAATGCTTAGCCTGCTCTGCAGAAAACTTTTTTGCTCTGTTTTAAGGGGATTTCCTTGAAGTTTCAGTCTCTGGGTGCTTTCTGTTATTGTGGGATTTGAATATTTAAAGTCAGTAAAGCTCAAGTAGGAAATAATGAAAAAAGGACTAATAGTTGTAAAGAACTAAAATCTCAGGATAGAAAAATGAAATCACACCAAAACCACGTGTAAATGCTTCTACAACTGAACTAAAAGAAATGCAATTAAATACTTAATTTGTCATGAAGATACCCTTACAACATTCATCTTGAACACTTGAAAGTAATTAGTAGTGTACTTACAAGACAATAATGAGATGGGATGCACAGCTGGAGGAGTGGTAGTTTATCTTAAAGCACATGTGGAAAGAAATAAGATCACTGTCATAGATGTCCCATGAAATACATAGAAATTGAAATCCTTTGGCTAATTTTCGAGTGTGTAATGTTAGGGCAGTGCTACTGATCAGTTGATTACAATGGTGGCAGTGCTTGTTGTGAGTGTTGAAATGGTCTGTGAAGGCACAGGATTGTGTAATAAAGGGAGACTTCTATGAGTGTCCTCTGGCCTTGATAAATGGCATGGTAAATGAGTGTTGCTTGCAGGTTCTTGAAGTAGCTACTTGACAGATGTATCTAAGAGGAATACCTGTTGATTTATTCTTGAGCAGTGCAAATACAGCTTCTTAGAACTAGAGCCTGCAGTGTCCTCAAATCTTGCGACTTCTAGAAGTGTAGAAGAATCTGTATGCATAGGAATTGTTTTCCCAGAAAATCTCAGTGATGCATTTTAAAAGGGAGATCTACCTAAAAATCCAAAGCCTACTTGAAAAGAAACGAAACAGATCAAAAGTTTGAAAATGGCATTAACAGAGTGTGTTTAAGGACTGATAGTGTGTATATCACTCATCTGTGATATACGTTGATAAATGCATATCCCTGCAAATAAAGACTTTAGAAGAACCCTATGAGTTCTGAATGAATGGCACATTTAAACAGCACAATAGAGCAGATTATTAGAAGTGGGGGAAAGCAGCTTAGCTTTCATCAAGTGACAACAGGAAAAAAAGCCTGTCAAATCCTGCTGATTTTACAGACCAATTTAAAAACCACTAGAAACTAATATTAAGAATGGTTTTAAATGCATCAGTCAAATTTTGTTTCAGAGGTTGTGAGAACAAAAGGTGATAAAGCATGTTAAGGACATGTGATGACTATGAGGTATAGATGGTCTGTTTTTACAATGGAAAGCAAGGGGTTACCTGCACTGATCCTTCTGGGAAAGGAGAGTAAAAAGGCAATAAAGTTAGCTGATACTTAAAAGAGTATCTGATAACCCATTGTTCATGTATATTGCTGATTTTTAAGATTGTGTATGTTTTCATATGCTTTTGTTTCATCTTTCAGCTTGTGATGAATGGAAGATTTTACCGAAACCTAATCTACACCGAGATGTCAACAGATTTGGTCACACTGCTGTTGTCAGTAATGGGTAAATGAAGTGTCTTCTAAATTTTCCTTGCTGTTTCTTTAAATGAAAAATCTGTGGCAGAAATTTTACCTGTGTGAAGTATGGTTCGATGCCATACAACTGATGTAATTTATTAATGTGAAAAGCAGTGCTCATCAGGGCTTTTCTTGTTTAGGTAACCATTACAACTAATTGTCAATCTGACTTGCTGTGGAATCTGTTCAGTGGCTTTTTATATGAACCTTCTAGTGTACTGAGGTGTTTCCTCAGTATTGTGAACTACAGGGAATTGGAAATTCCGTACCAGCTGTAATCCTTGCTGATCTTTTTCTCTTTGCAGCATGTTATAGTTCCTTTTCTTCTTCTATCATAAAATCAGAAACATAACTAAAACTTGCTTGGAAAAAGCAGGATTTTGATGATACTGATACAGTTGTTATTAACCACTTGTGGGGAAAAAAAGCTTGCCAGTATCTAGACTTTGCTTATCCTTTAGAAAGTATTATCTTGTCCTTTGTTGCATTGAGGAACTCAGTAAAACAACTTCATCTAGAAACAGGAGATGGACTGGATCTGGAGCTTTGTGGATTTGGTGGATGAACTTCCTGGTTCTTCCACCCCAACCCCAAAAGATAAAATTGTAAGACAAAAGTCACTTTTTCAGAGGAAAAGTTGTAGAAAACTGTAGTCAGATTTGAAGAAATCTCTAAGTTTGCATGTTTCAGTTTTACTATGGCCAGCTGGCCTAATACCTGACAGTTGCAGTACTATAGATCACTGTACTCTGAATCATCCTCTTCTACGTGATTCATCATACTAGTAAACTCAGCACTTAAGTATATGTGCATAAGTATATGCAAGCAACTTTGAGATTCTCTACATAGTATTGTATACATATATATCCATACATACATATTTTATATATATCCTCTACATACTATTGTATAGTTAAGAAATAACAGATGTGATAAGTAATATGAAGAGTTTGATTTTAATGAAAATAGCAGTAAGTTGTAACTCCATATGCAGAGCATTTGAAATTAATCAAAGAACAGATTACCTCCATTGAGAGAAAATTGCTTGGAATTAATGAAGTCAGCAAATGATAGTTTTTCATTCAGATTTGTGTTATTTTAAGATGTCTCATACTTTGAGAAGTGTCACTGTTTAATTAGATTCAAGGTGAAAATGCCTGTTTTTTTTCTGAACTGAATGGTATTTTTAGTAGGGTTATATGTTCAAAAAATGTAATATGAGATGCTCCACAAAAATTTCTGTTATTGGTAGCTGTATGATTAATTCTGTTTTAAGAGTACATGATATAACAGATACACAGGTTCTTTATTGTTATCAGTTACTAGAGTCTCTTCATAATTTTAAATGAGAAGGGGAAGGTCTTCTGGTTCTGATGTCAGAAGCTACTGCACCAGAAGTGTTACCAAAAAGAAATACCCATCTACCAATGATTGCTGTCTGCCTTTGAAATCTTTTTGAAGAAAAATGTTCTCATTTCCTTCAGGCCATTATTTCACACTCTGTTCTTATTATCTGACTCAAAAAATGAATAGTTTCCTTCACAGCTCTTATTTCTTCTTTCCAGACGTTTGGAACATATCACTCAGTAGTAATATGGCAAGTGCATTTTGTGCAAATTTTTTGTTATTCTAAAATTAGTGGAGAAATTAATTGAAAACTAATCAATAATGGAACTACTGACAGAGTCTATTAGAGAGAGATGATAGTATGTGTTATGTTTTAATTGTATATCAAGACAGGTAAGAAATCAGGAAGATATATTTGTATCTGTAATAGCGGTTATATTTACTTGCTTTTTCTAATAGGTCCATGTATATATTTGGGGGGTTTTCGAGTGTTCTTTTGAATGACATCCTTGTGTACAAGCCTCCAAACTGTGAAGCATTCAGAGATGAAGAACTGTGTAAAAATGCTCGTCCAGGGATAAGGTGTCTGTGGAACAAGAAACATTGTGAATCCTGGGAATCTGGACATGCTAACAACATCCTTAGAGCAAAATGTCCAAAGAAACCAGGCAAGTAAATTCTAGTCTTCCAGTATCAGATTTGCAATGTGATTTAGGAGATAAGGGGCAAAAAACCCCCAAATGCCTGCCCACCACCAAGTGGAACTAGTGATTGGACTGTTAAGACTGTTCCTCTTGGAGTACTCAATGCAATAGACTGATGGATTAATCTTTAAAATCATTAATTCTGGTTTTTAATTTATTCTAAATACAAGGAAGTAGGTGCAGAAGGCACAGGTTTAAGGTGCTAAGGGATACAAAACAAGATGGTTCAAACAAGAATTTATTTCATTGGGCAGCTAAAGTCTAAAATGGCTTTGGATTTGGCTTGTGTTTGAAGCATTTATAAAAGGGTGAGCTTTGAAATACTGTAACTAATTTTCCTCTTTATCTGTTTTGGGATATATATATATGTCTGTGTGTATATTGGCACATATTCTATATATATATAAAAGCCTTCATGTTTTTCTGATTCCAAGGAAGCATTACAGCAGTCAGAGCACAAATGGGTGCTCCAGGTGATACCTGGCATTATAGGCATATGGCACTCTCGTGTCTGTGCGTCACCAGTAAGTGAGAGCGAAAGCATTGCTGCTTCTCGTAGATTACCTGTCAAACAGGAGCATTTGTATAGAAGAATATAGTACATTCACAGCTGGCTAGAAACTTGAGGCAAACAAACCCTTTGATGCAGTGTGTCAAAACGGGTTCAAGTTTGTCATGTGAATTTCTGTGCAGCATTGTGATAGCTATATTGTTTGAAACAGTAGTTCAGCATTGCGAATAACTGTTGCACCCTGTTCCAAAGTATTTTGGCTTGTCACAAATAAATTGCTTGTGAAAGCGGTATTCTTGTACTTCACATGAACAGCATATGCATCACTGCTACATACACCTACTATTTTTTTGTGTGTATGCATCTTTCCTTTCAGCACAGTATAAAATTGCTAACCGAACTTTGGCTCTGTGCTACGTGTACAAACTACCGTGCAATTAAACTGCCAGTCTGCTTTTAATGTTTGTGAAAAAGATATTAGCGCTGCTATTAATGAGTACTTCAGGACATTTTTTTCTGTTAGCTTTTGTTTGTTTCAGAACTGTATATAAAGTTTCAAACTCAGAAAAGGTGCATTATATAACAAAGGTTACCTAGGTAAAGCTTTCTGAAGAGCTGCTTTTGTGCAGTTTAATAACATTTAGAGATCTTGAGTCTACAGTTTCAGCTCTTTATAAAAGGAAAACTCTTGAGATGCTGAATTCAAAAATAATACAGGTGAAACTGGATCTTATAAAAAGCAACAGGTAAAGAACAGACCGGCTGAAGGAAAGTAGTTAAAACTTTTTCCAAAGTACAGCTGCCGCAGTGGCAATAACCTACAACTAAACTTGTGAGAGATGAGGTGAATAGAATTCCAGTACCAAAAAAGTTGTGTGGACACCACTACTTCAAATCCTTCCAGTTTCAAGTGGTAATAAAGCCAAATTGTTCAAGCCAAAAGCCAATTTTTCATATAGTCTTTTACACTGCTCAGTTGTTATCTGGTTGATGGTATCACCTGAGAACCTGCTGATAGTCAATAGTAAAGGATAAACAGAAATTTTAGTGGGTTTTCAGAAGTTCATTTTCCTGGCAAGGGAATCTCTTAAACTTGTGTGATCTTGAGACTAAAGAAACCAGACTGCCCAGGAGTCAAACATTGTAATCAGTGCAGGAAGAGGTGGGAATTCCTCTCTTCCCAGTCATAGTGATCTTGCAGGTTTTTGCCTCTTTTAAACAGAAGTTATAACTTGTCTCTGTTTTAAATAACATTAAAATTTAGTCCAAGTCCTGAAGCCTTGTATTCAGGATTTAACTCTTCCTCAAGTATTTTTTATAGAGAAAGGTCAGAACTATAACTTACCAATCATTATTAGGTTTATAAGTTAATTTAAACTTAAACTGACTATGTGTTGCTAGTATGTGTTAGATTTTTTTTTTTTTATCTACTAGTTTTACCATTGAGTTCTTGCCTAGCAATCTGATATTTTTATCAGAAACCTGCATCTGAAGAAAATCTTTGCTCTGTGTTAGAGGAGTGAAGAATGAGTAATTTAAGAAAGTTTCTGATACTCTTATGCACTGTGGTAAGAGTTTGTATGCTGCAAGTACACTGCAGTGAGTATTCCTTTAGTTGATGAGACTTATGAACCTTCAAATATAGTTGTTACAAAAGGAATTTTTAAAGGAGTAAATCCTATCAATGAAGAGAATTAATTTCCTGCAGTAACCTAAACCTTTAAGAATGGCTACAGAGGGATGCAACAGCAAATTCTCAAAGCAAGTGTTTAAAATATGGTATTTTTCCCCTGTGTGACATTTCCTTTTGCCTGTCGTTGGTATTGCAGCTGCTGCAGATGACAGATGTTACCGGTATGCAGATTGTGCGAGTTGTACTGCCAATACAAATGGGTGCCAGTGGTGTGATGACAAGAAGTGCATTTCAGCAAGTAGTAACTGTAGCATGGTGAGTCTGCAAACCTATGGTTGTGTTATTAATGCTGTTTCTTTTCTAGCTAAGCCAGAGGCCTGCTGCAGCAAATGAAAGGGGTATAGTAGGCTAATAGTAGATTGTTTTAAACACAAACGTAAACGTGTTTGCCTGGCATTTGCAGTAAAAATGTTGCAGAGGGTAGAGTTGGACTGCAGCAAAGATACATATTCCAGAGGAAAAAAATACAGGTATTATTTAGGATTGTGTTAGCCCACAATATATCTCTCAGGACAAATACTATTACCTCCTAATTAATGACATTCGGAACAACCTGGCGTCGTTATCAACTTGGATTTTGTGCATATGTGGAGTACAGTATGCAGACAGACATGGAATCCCATGAAGGACGGTTATTGGTTTCCCTCGTACTCCTCCCCCTCCCCCCTTTCAAACAGGCCCAGGTCAGTCATCAAGAGTCTTGGTATTCTTATCACTGTTCTTTACCGAAATGTTTTGCTTCGGGTCATGGAGTTACTTATCTCATTAAGGAATATAAGCCTTTGTCACCATGAGATTAACAGGCTTGTGAGGATTTGGTAAGATTGTTCTGATCTTTGTGAAGACAAGCAATAAGAACATACAGATTGTTACAATTTTCTCATTTTCTACTTTTAATATTGCTTGCTGCCATGTTTTATTCTTTATGTTGTTGTCCACTGGTTGCTGCATCTCTAGCTTGTTAATTTGATTTTTGACAAGTTTATAATAACACTTCAGCTTTATAAATTTTCTGTCTTTATATTTTTCAGGTAGCTCCAGGCTCCTGGCTGTAGTAGAGTTCAAAATCCTTTCTTTTCACGCTGCTATTAGTAAAAGTAGCTTGCTCTCTGGTGTGAACCTGATGTAAATCAATCATGTTTTCTAGACAGATAAATTAATGTGTGAGTTGAATTGACTCTAATTTAAATCTTGCCCATTCAGGGTGTTTGCAGCCAGCTGTAATCACTGGCATTCGTAGTTAGTCACTACTAATAAAAGCAATGCAGACACAAATTCATCAACAGCCATGTTATAAGTCTGTCAAAAGAATTTCACATTCCAGGCACTAATGGTTAGTTTCCTTTGTTATCTCAAGGGCTCTTCTTTTCCTAACACATTGTACTATATTAGGTGCCAATTTTCTCACTGTGGTTTTCAACTCTTAAGCAAGGAGTAGTTGCTAAGGAGCAGACCATGTTCATCTCTGGTAAATGTGGAGCACTGGGTATTTTAGAACAAGCTTCTCAGTGTAGTATCCTTCTTTGACAACCATACATGACCAAGATTGTCAGCTTAATTAGCAACTGATGCACCGGTCTTCTCTGTATCATTTCCTGTTCTTTTTTCAGGGCTTGAAGTGGATAGCAAAGGCTATTAGTGGAGTTAGTAGAGAGTGTGAGAGTGAAAAATTCATCAAAATGATTTCTGAAAAGAATTATTATCATAAGCTGAAGATGGCTATTGCAAAATTAATGTATTGGCTGGGAGATGATGGAGGCAGAATGTTGCAGATATTGACATAAACCCACCAAAATAGCATCAACAGAATGGCACCACGTGGAGAAGTGGAATGGATTAGGCTGATTATCCATTTTCATAGACAGCTGCTTCTGGACTAGGCCCACAAAATGAAAATGTTGTGACAGTACTGTGATGGTTATATAGCATAACAAGCTGTAGAATCAGAAACATCACAAAGAGAAAGTCCCACTTTTGTAGCTGTACAAAGGCATTGATACATGACTTAGATCACAGAACATCCTGATCAGACAGACCATAAGGTGTTAGGATCTCTTTCTTTTGCTTCATGGAAACTGGTCAGCGTACTAAGGATATGGTAGCAATCATTTTGGCAATGACCTCGTGGTCTTGGATATTTGCAAACCAGTGACTGGTCTGCTTATTGGAAGGGGTATAAAATATGGATATTTCCCTGAAATAACTGTTTGCACAGATGGGCTTCATAAGTAGTGCTAATTTATTGACAATACATATTTACCTGCCTATGCCCACTGATGTGGGTCATTACATTAAGAGGACACTGTTTCTACTACTGTGCAGACTCACGGATCATTATGATATATATCATGCTCATATCTGTTGTAGTTGCAAGCAGAGGCGTGCATTGACAGGTTGTTCTGATGGTGGATATAATGAATTAACATCATTATATCTGATACAAATGTGGAAGGATGAATACTTATCCTGTCTTCCCCAACTGGGAAAACAGTTTATTTAAAATTTGTGGAGTGGTTCAAAATGGTACTGAAATTTGGCCAGTGAGCAGCATGCTAGCTATCCTATTTGTCTGTTTTCTACCATTAAACCTATGTCAGAGATTTTGTCTGTTGTAATAAGGATTTTGAAGGTTGCCTTGGGAAATGATACCATTTAAATTCCCTGGACTGCTTACAGTGGTTTTACATAATACACTGAAGTTATTCCAGAATGAATTGTAGGTCTTGTATATAAAATTAAGGAAACAGTTATTTTTACCTTTAAGATTGATGGATGGTGAAAATGGGACAATGACCTACACTACCTTTTTTCAAAGCTGTGCAAATATGGATACTGGTTTACCATGGTGGCAAAAGCAACTATAATGCTGTCATACTGTCTTATGCCAAGTACAGACGTCACAAAATACAACATATTAATAGCTATATAACTTGCTCTTTCAAGCCCCTTCTCGGAGCCTCTTGTATCTAGTCTAGAGCTGGTTTCAGCTTTGAAACGTATTGTATAAGACTTTGTCACAAAAAAGGAAGCAGTGTCATTGATGTATCTGTTTGTTTTGTCCCATTCATGGGATGTCTCTATCAAAGATCAAAATTTAAACCGGAATATTTTGATTAACTTGTGAAACCTAATTGTGCTGTGTAGGTGTCGCTCTAAGCCCTACATAGCACTCCTAAAATTTCTGTCATGCTCATAACTGCCTTTTTAACTTGGCTTCTGTGTCTCACATCTTCCTTCTTTTGCTGTTTCCAAAGAAAGTTCTGTGTCCTGTTAGCAGCGTGTTAGCGATTTTTGTGGGTGTTGTGGTTTAAGTGCAGTCAGTAACTCAGACCTACACAGTCTCGCTCGCTCACTTCCCCCTCTTCCTCTCCCCTACTCCTGGAGGGATGAGGAGGAGAATCAAAAGAATGTAACTCCCATGGGTTGAGGTAAGAACAGTCCAGTAACTAAGGTATAACACAAATCACTGCTGCTACTACCAATAATAATGATAAAGGAAATAACAAGGGAGGAGAATACAGTATCACCTGCCGATACCCAGCCAGACCGAGCAGTGAGCCAGCCCTTCCGGGTAACTCTCAGTTTACATCCTGGGCATGACATGCTGTGGTATGGAATCCGCCTTTGGTCAGTTTGGGTCAGGTGTCCTGTCTCTGCTTCCTCCTGGCTTCCCCTCCTCCCTGGCAGAGCATGAGACTCAAAGTAATTGGTCAGAGTAAACATGACTTAGGAACAGCTAAAAACGTCGGTGTTACCAGCGCTGTTCCCAGACAGAAAGTCAAAGACACGGCATTGCACCAGCTACTAAGAAGGAGAAAAAATGACTTCTACTGCTGAACCCAGGATATTGTAGATTGTATTTACTTTTACTAGCAGTTCACTGCCCTTAGGTCTGTTACGTTGATCTTACACTTTGACCTTTGACATTTGTAGTCCATAATATCCAGTGTCTTCCTGGTTCTCCATGATTCTGATGCATTTTGCCTGTCTCTTAATAGAGGAAAAGCACCAGATCTGGATCTGCTTAATATGTTTATGAAACTGTATTCACATTGTACATCTGCAGATAAAAAGGTTTGTCTCTCATACCGTGAGAATGATACTCCCTTGCTGATCGTGTTGTTCAGAAAATTGACTCTGTTTCTATTTGATAATGGAAATATTCCCAAGAAAAGCTGTTAATTTTATAAATTTGCCTTCTAGTTTTTACCACCCTGTCTCCAGCAATAAATAAATAAAAGGCTTTGGGGAGAGATTAGTTTTATTTTAAATAGCTGCACCTTTACAATGTGTCATTTTTTCTTGAGGTACTAGCATGGAAGAGTAAGCAAAGACTTGATCTGCTCTTTGGGGAGGAGTTATCCCATGAAGCAAAATCTTTTTGTACCTTGTAAGAAAGAAGAGCTTTAATAAAAATAATCATATTTAAAACCAGCAATATATCAAGTCCGCATTACAGCCCTAAAGCTGTCTCATTTTTGCAGGCAAATGCAAAAAGTGTGATTGCACTGAAGCCCTGAAAGTGCTGGAATACTTGCTGCTTGCAAACCTTCCTTAAGCAATGTGCTTGGGAAAGAAGAGGGTGAGCTGGGTTTGGACATGTACCAGCCATTTGTATTTGTGTTTGGCTCAAGTACTGATAGACTTACAGGCTGAAAAAGTCAAAATATTTTTGTACACATGTGGGTTCTTACTGGACAATATTATGGCTTCCTTTTGATATTCATAATGTGAAATAATTTTGAGGGTTTTACCTTCTTCCTCTTTTCTTACCATTTTTTTTTTTTCACCTCACTTCTTTGTCTCCTCCCCCACCCTGTTCTTTGGGAAATGATGAGAAATGCTTGCACTGGTTATAAAACCAAATTGGTTTGATTCCTTATATCCTTAAAACAGCTTTTCCCATTTCCTGGCTCCACACTGAACTTCACATCCAACCAGCAGTCCTGAAAGGCACGCTTCAAGAATTAACAGGAAATGGCTTCCGTCTCTTCTGTTGTCTTCTCTACAGTAGAAATTGAAGTAATCACTGAAGATATGGTAGCTGTAATAATATGCTCCACAGTGTTGGCCTATAGTCATTCAGTTTATAGAAATGGTAACTGCCTACACTAAAGCATTGCAAATAAAGTAACTTACTCCCATTTTACTTAAGGAAAGTATTTTGAAGGCTAGAAAGGCAGCAGTAATGTGGTACTAAACTTTACTTGAAAAATGTTGACTCAGAGAAAGTGTTTTCAAAACTATACAAGTGCTTGGAAAAAAAATGGAAAAAACCCACTTTTCTTGTAAAATTTCAGCTCTTATTCTGAATCTTCACATTAAGCTTGTTAAAATGCCTACTTGCTACACTATTACCAATACCAAGAGTAATAATAGCAATCTGCCTACATTTGAGGAACTCTATAAAAGAATAGCTAAGGGAAATGTATAAAGTAGTGGAAAGAATTACGAATAGAATTAAATTTATCTTGGGAAAGATAAATTTAAGGACTACCCAATAGTGAGATTGGGAGTAGCTTCAGACAAATAATATCAAATCTATTAGATTAATAATTTCCAGGAACTAGAAAAGATTACACCGTTAACCTAAAAAATCCAGGTGAAAGAGGAAAGGTAGCAAAAATTTGGAATAGCAATTCCCCAAATTCCGAGATAAACTACTGTAATATATTCCTTCTGCAGTGGTTATTCACAAAATCACTGCAGTTCATAAGCCTGTCTATATACTGCCGCATCAAGAACCGTACTGAAAAAATCCAGGTAAATCAGACATAAGTGGGGAGCTTTATACATAACATGATTTACTCATGCTTTGGTGTGTAAACATTATAAATATCCTACAGCAATATAGAACTTCAGTAACAGATGGGCTGTCATATTTCTGAATTTCATTGGGTTTGGTAGCTTAAGTTATAACCTTAATATTGTGTTAATATGAATTACCTATTGGATTCACTTCTACATTGAACTAATGAGATTTTCAGGCAAGCACTGTTAAAATTGGATTTAAGGGCAATAAGTGCTGGGAATAAGGGAATACAACAGAGAACATTATTACAGAATAGTCACTAGTACTTTGAATTTTATTTTAAACATTAAGTAACCAGCACACAACAAGCTTCATTTGATTAGAAAGTAATAGAAAAATATCTTGGTTTAGTTGGAAAATTGTAATCTGTATGTAATATCAATAAAGAATATATAATTTACAAAACCAATCTGAATGATTAAGGATTTTTGACTATGCCATCATGAAGCATTAGAAGTACTAGTTGAGGTATTGTAAATGAGCAGATGGTGGTTACTTGTGCTCTAAAATTCACATTAAAGTATCTCTCGGGCAGTTTTGTGAATATGCTTCATGACGGTGAAGCTAGATGTGGGCCTGTACCAAAGTTTTTTTTGTGCTTTACTGTGTAGGTATTTATCTGTCTAGGTAGACATTCTATTACTTTATGGCATGGCCTCTGGCTCTGTTTCACACTGCGGTGTAGATTCCTTCCCCTAGAACTGCTTCTCTGTTGCCTTTTGCTTCACAGTACCCTTTCTTATAGACCAGAAAAATAGTGAGTACCTTTTATAATAAGCTCATTGATAGATATCTGATACAATAAAGTCAACAACCAAACCCCGAAACAGCAGTGTTCTTCAGCAGGACTGAAGTTGGCCCTGTGTGAGATTGATGTTCTGTCACTGTCCACATTCCACTACCAACAACTGTGTAGCTTATCATAGGATTTTCCCTTTAGATGTACTTTATTGTACTGCAGGAGATAATTAGAAAGGAAAGCAATCGGAATTGTCATGTAAACCATGCATTTCCTGTCTGAGTGCAGTCTGTCTTTGCTGCTGTGCATGAATTAATCTTTTGTTGCTAGAGAGAGAAAAAAAATGTTTGGGTTGGACAAGATAACTTCCAGAGTTCCCTTTCAACCTCAACTATCCTTTGGTTCTTTCTCGAATTAGGAGGTTTTTTTCATTATTACCTTGAAATTAAGTTAGTAGAGACAGCCTTATAGATAATCTAATGAACTGTGTGAGGATTTAGGGCAGTTTATTAGGTAAGATATCAATATTGTGTCTTAATTAAAAGTACTATCCAGAGGGAAAAAGTTTTGCATTAAAAATGGCTAATTTGCAAAGGAAGACCTGTTTTTAGTGTAACAAAACAAAACACTCCACCAAACTCTGCAAAAAACCCAAATGAAAACTCCTTCAGTGTTTACTGCTCTTCTTGTATACTAAGGTACCAAAGGAATGATGTTATTCCTGGTTTTATGTCACTGTTTGACAAAATGATTTCCTGTAGATTCTGTAAATTTCATACAAGCTACATTGCATCGAGGTTTGCTCTTAAATTTGTAAAAAGGCATGATTGAAATTTTTGACAAATCCTTCTTGTGTTTTGTGCCTACTGACCTGTAGTTCCTATTTTTCTTTCATTTAATCCCAATAAAGTGAAGCTGAACACACTTTTCCACCTTCAGTCACTGATGTGTAATTATTTTACACCTGTATCTTGTGCCTTTTGTTATAATCAGTTTATTTTACTTGTTTTAACCTGCATTGGACAAAATAATTTAGTGATAGCATATCTCTTAGCTATCTGAGAAGTAGAGATTTAGTTCAGATATTTAAGTTCTTCTTGTGCTTTCCACAGGAAAATGGCATATTTAAAGTACTATTTGACCCTTTCAGAAGTTATTCATGTAGGACAAGTAGAGTGATTTGTCATCTAGAGATGCAGTTTATACTGTCTGCAACTGATAAGGGGATCTACACAAAACTTAAATTCACCCAAGCTTTTAGGTGGCTGTGAGTTTTTTCAGTGATTTTCACCTGCTGTGTATTTCAGTTTTGCCTTCTGGTTTCTTGGTAGCTTGACATCTGCTTGAGATGCTGTTTTGTCTGTTTTACTTTCATAGTCGGTTAAAAACTACACCAAATGTCATGTGAGGAATGAACAGATCTGCAATAAACTGACCAGCTGCAAAAGTTGCTCGCTGCACCTGAACTGCCAGTGGGACCAACGGCAGCAGGAGTGCCAGGCACTACCTGGTAAGGGCCATGGGGTGACGATGCTGCTTTTATAGTTGATTTCAAAACTGGGTAGATTTCTTCCATTGCTGTCAAAGAATGTTCAAAGAGTAGTCCTGGATTTGTTGTGCTTGTGCTGACTCTCCCTGCCTGGCTGTGCCTATACAGGTGAATACAAATGTAGTTACATCACTGGTTTGTGTATCAGTACTGGCTTTAATCTTGTAAGGAGAGATAATAACATAAGTGAAGGTATAATGGCATGTACCTCTGCACAAGCCAGGGACAAATTCTAGCCTGTGGGGATCACTGAGTGCAGAACTGAATTGCCATACTGGGTCCTTTACTATCACATATCCACTGACATTGTTACTCTTGCTAGCTGAGGGTTTATCTTCTAAATTATACTTCAATTATACTTCAATTTGTCTGTGCAGATACTGCCTAAGATCTAGTTTCTTGATTGTCTAATGTTGGTAATACTGTGAAAGCAGTGAATATTAAAATACTGATATATTCTCAGAAGGTAACTGTTAATGTTCTGAAATAATATTTACTCTGTAATTCATATTCATAGCTGTGTATATGCAGTCAGATGTCAGAACCTTTTCCATTTGATCTTTATGTCCAGATGAAGTTAATGAATGCATTTTTTTCAGAGATTATTAATTAAATAACTTTGATCAATTTATTCTGCAGAATAAATAGTTGAGAATAAACTGCATTTTCATTTAAAATGCAGTTTAAAGCTGCATTTGTTTAATCTTCGTAAAGATTAACTATAACGCTTGCTCTGAATTACTTTTTTTAGTTATCTGAGCCTGAGTCATGCTGAACAGGAAATACTTTCAGAGATGTTATTTGAATTTCCTATTATTTGCATTGTATTTGTGCTTAGGCAAATAAAAATGCAAAGATACGGCGATAAAGCAAAGCAAGGGTAAAGTTGTGATCACTTAATTCTAGGAGAGCTGTTTTTAGATTTTGAAAAAGGAAATTGAGTGTGGGATGTGTTTTGAATTATGACCTCAGGAAGGTAAAATTCAGACTCTCTTAGGGTTTTCATTATGTTTTCTTTCAAATCATCTTTAATCATATGCTTTTTACCCTAGCTCATCTGTGTGGGGAAGGATGGAGTCATATTGGAGATGCCTGCCTCCGCATAAATTCTAGTCGTGAAAGCTACGACAATGCCAAACTGTATTGCTACAATTTGAGCGGGAATCTTGCCTCATTAACAACCTCAAAAGAAGTGGAATTTGTTCTTGATGAAATACAAAAGTATACACTTCAGGTAACTTGAGTAACTGTAATTGATGCTTGTGTGAATTAAATTTTCTTTGAGAAATATATTTTAGAGATTTGTCCAAAGAGAATAAAGTTTATGCCCTCAAAAAAGTGTAGTATGGTGCTAAAGAGTGCTGTATAGTGCTGTATAAGTGGTGTATAGGATATTAAGGAAGTCTCATGTTTAAAGTTAATGACACGGCAGTACCCAAGTGTTTCTCCATACCAGATTTACCTGTTACCGGTTACTGTTTACTTTCAAGATGCGACTCAGGAATGGCTTGGAACGCTGATCTGGGAAGTCCCAGTGCTTTTCAATACACTGTGATAGCAGGAATCAAAAAAAGACATAATAATTTTCACTGTAACAGAGAAATAAATCCAGACTTTCGCGTAAGTATCCATAAAACTGCTCGCAGGACTGGGTTTGGGATGGTGTATAGCTGGGCTGCAAGCAGCTGAGGACAAGGAGGTACTAAAGATGTATACTTTTCTTCTCCAGAAAACCCTAGCTCCCTGTATAACTGGTATGTAGGATCAAAGGGTCACAGAATAGCTGTACTAGTATGAAGGCATGTAGAAATTCCCTGCACAGTGGCACTGGAATGAGCCAGGAGCTAATTAGCTTTATGCTCTAATGGTGGGAGAGCAAAAGGGTTGAAAACTCTCACATGCCTCTGGCAAGTACAGGAAGCTGCCATCAGAATATTTCTTAGGAATGTGATCCTTGTTAATTTAACTGTGGGACAGAAGACAGGAAATTGAGGATTAATGACCTGTTCGTGGGTGGTCAGCTTCAATTTTTTAGCAGTTAAATATTCAGATGCTTATTGCTGTTTAAACTGTTGGAAGGCCTACCCACATCATTGGTACCCATATATGAAATGTATGGGTATATATGCTCAAATATAAATGCTCAATATATGCTCAAAAGCTGTTAAACCAAGAGTGTACACTCAGATGGAATGTCTTAGCAGAATAAGGTTCTATTACAAGCAGATCGGTTCATCTTAGTAAAGGACATTTTTAGAAGTATTTCAGTTTGTAGAACATGCAGCATTTCTTTGTATAAAACCCCCTAATTTTTAAGTAGCTTAGGGTTTTACAGTCACAGGAAAATGGAAGGTAATTGTGAACAGTAATTAAAGCTTATATCAAGCTAGTATGTGATTTGCAAAGTTGTTATGTTGGAGAAGAATTGAGATGCATATGAACCAAATGGCAGTTAAGAATTGCCTTTGTTATGCTAAATCTGAATGCAGGATTTTAGGGACATATAGTGTGAATCAAAATATTCTGTATTACCCTTTTTAGTGTTCCATTTCAAGAAGGAGATGCAAATATAAGTTATATTCTTAAATTTGTTTTTTTTTTTTTCCCCTGTAAATGTAGGACCTGGACAGAGAGATTTTTTATTTTTGCCTATAAAGACATGTATTTTCTCTTATGTGCTAATACAGGAGAGAGAAGTAATTCTTCTATGTCAGAAGATCTCCCCTGATGTTGTACTTACAGTAGACTTGAAACACATTGTCCGCTCCTTGATACGAGATAATGTTGAAAATGTAATGGAAAACAAAATAACAAAATCGGAGATGTCAGTGATTTCTCTAGTTATTTATTTTGCTGCTTTTATTATTTTTTCCTTTTTTCCCTGATTCCCATTAAAATATTGCACAGGAGGCCTTCAAATCTAATAGCGAGTGATGGAGTATTGATATGACTGATATTACCTGACTGGCTTGAGGTGTAGATGAGAAATAGCTGCTTTTTGAGTTTAGAAGCTAGATTTTTCTTACATTTCAGAGCTTAGAACTTGAACAAGGTAACATCCTGCTGCACTTATCTTTATTTAAACAATGTTCTAAGCCAATGTGGTGATGTAAATTTGAGATACGTAATGTACAGTTTTGCAGTTGTAGATAAATGTACATTCTTCAAAGGACTATCTTGGGTTAAAGGACTTATCCTGGTGTTTTCAGTGGCATTTAAGAAAAATAAGTTTTTTTAAAAAAAAAAAAAAATTGTATCTATCTTTCCAGTTCCATTTATTCTGTGTGAGACAGCCTAAATGTCTTATCCAGAGTCTCTGGACCTTTCTGATTTTTCCTTTGTCTGCCTTTTCCTCTCAAACTGCAATCATAATGATTTAATGGAGTGAGATTTCATTTTAGATGGCTGTTGTAACAGGTGGTGATGTGTAGCTCGCAAATGCAGTCAGAGCAACTTTAAGGTGAACACAGTGCCTTTTAATCTGTATTATCTGTGGCGGAGTTTGACTTGTGTGGTTAATGTGAAAGGCTTTAAAATCTTCACCTATGTGAAGGGCTTTCAGGATTAGTGAATGTGTCAGAGCAACATTTGATAATAAAAGTATGGATCTGTTTTTATCTCTGCTTTATTTGATATACTGAGAAGAGAAGAGCAACTTTGGTGAATGTTGTGTATTGTACAGACTCTTAGAATGGTGTTAGTAAATACTGTAGCCTGGAAGGGCTTAATGATTCCTTATTGTTCATATAAATAATGTGAAACTTCACAGATTCTGGTTAGGGGTGTGCTTTATTATTTTTGTTTCTAATGATCAAAGTCCTTGTCCTGGGACAAATATAGGACGCAATTTCTTTGTCATGTTTAGAATAACACAAAACATTGATTCTTGGGAAAGTGTCAGATGGAGGAGGCTGCTATTATCTCCACACCTTGTCCAGACTTTATCATATATCAGTAATTTCTCTTTAAATCCAATGCAAAATTGGAAATTAATAGTTTGCCTCCTAAAGGATAAGGAGAAGGTTCATTTGGTACTTAAGGGGCAAAACAAAGACCTTTGTAGTATCAAGTCAAAACACATTTGAGTTTGCAGATGCATTCTAATACCATCACCAATAATTAGCAGTCTAATTTCTGTTTTTCATTGAAAAAAATCAAATTCTTTTAAGAGAATATCAAGGGAAACACAATGGATGTACTGCAGATTCCCATACTAAAGCAAAACGGCGCTGTCTTTTTTTATGTGCTGTGTTAATGACCTAGCAAGCAAAATATTATGAAAGGGAAGATTTGAGTTTTTCTATAGATTAAACAGCAATACGAGGTTAATTAATTGTTCTTGCAGTATTCAAATGTTGCATATTCATTTGAAAGTGCAGTAGTGCTCTTGGGAGTTCACTCACAACTGTGGGAATTGAACTAAAAATAACAACTTTCTTGTTAACATGCAATAAATTCTGAGATGACTTAGTTTTGGTGTAGTAAGCATAAACAAAGATGAGAACTGTTTAAATAATGCTTTTGATTATATAAACTGCAACTTTCCTTTAACTCGCTGTTCTCAGGGCCTAAGCATCCTTTATAAATTACACTGGAGTGTAGGTTGTTGTTAATTAGTGAGCTTTGCATGGCAATATTGGTCCTTGTTAGGTCAAAGTATTCTCAGAGGGCTGTATGTTTTTGTGGTTTTATCAAATGTGTGGTTTTAGTGAAGCTGACACCTACTTTTTTTCTGAATTAGTCTCATTAGTACAGTTTCCAGCAGTCCCACTTCTCTGTTGTGGTTTTGGAAGCCTAATAAATTGCTTCAGCATTTTGTCTCCATCAGAGGTGTTACACTGGCTGCCCATTAGTTCACCTCTAGTTTAACTTTTTCTTCCCACTTTCAGGAAGTGGGGGGCTCAACTTGCTTTGTATGCTGAGAACCTGAATCTCCGCCTAAAATTACCCCCTGTAAAGAAGAAAAGAGCTTTTAAACCAAAGTCCCAATGGAATACTGTCTATAATCCCTCTGGATGGAAATTGGGGAAACTCTAATTTTCTTGATTTGCCAGACTTTCTGTTTTTTTTTTAACCAACGTTACAACAGCAAAATTTGAAGACAGTAGGAGAAAATGTTTTTATGACCTAATGCACAGCTCCTACTTCTCACTGAGTCTAGATTTCATCATTTGTGTCTAATAGAAACTGAGACACTTAAATCACGGAGCTGCCTCCACTGCTTATGTGTCATTCCCTGGGTAACTATTGGCAAAATATGAAATGTGGAGGTATCTAGCATAGTTAGAATCAATGCATAGTTAAAAAAACAGACACTGAGCAATGGGCTATTAAATAGAATTGGTTTCCTCTTCATATAGGTCTTAGTTTTAGTAGGCAGGTTTTCTTAACCATAAGGATGCAGAGAAGAGGCAAACTGACAGCAAGCACTTCTCAAAAGTGTGGGTGTTACGGAAATACGAGCATTAAGTGGCCACTGTATTTTGGAAGTTTCTAGAATTATTATAGAATCGCAGACTGGGTTGGGTTGGAAGGGACCTTAAAGCTCATCCAGTTGCAACCTTCTGCCATGGGCAGGGACATCTTCCACTAGACCAGGTTGCTCCAAGCTCTGTCCAACCTGGCCTTGAACACTGCCAGGGATGGGGCAGCCACAGCTTCTCTGGGCAGTCTGTGCCAGTGCCTCAGCACCCTCACATTAAATTACAAACTTAATTACAACTAAATCTTTGTAGTTCAGTTTGAGGGAAAACTTTTCCCAGAAATCAAGGAGTTCAAAAGAGTCTTAAAGTTAGTTGAAGTTTGGTAATAACATATCGTGATGCGCGTATTAGAAAATACATCAGAAGTGTATCATACGCTTCCAGGACAATTTAAGATCCAAAATGAAAGGAATTTAAATAAAGATGTGGATACATTTTTGAAAAGATATATGGTTCCTTAGTATTTTGCATAATTAAGGAAGAGAGGACAACTTTGAGCCTCGGTAATAATTGGGTATTCAGTAAAGGTAGGCTTGCTCACTTTGCTCCTCTGCAAATTATTCAGCCCTCATTAAATTAGTGCTGAGGCAGCAGTAGTGCCTGAAAAATGTGTCGTGACTATAAATGATCACATTCACTGTAGATCTCAAAGCAACTTAGCCTGACTTAAATTTTCTGAGTAAACCCTAGATTTAGCATGAAGTATGAGCTCTGTAGTTAAGGTGACTCAATTTCCCTTTCTAATAGAATTGCAATAATTACTTCTTAAAAGAAAATTAAAATTGAGGGGGTTAGAAAAAGAGAAGAGCACATATTTGAAATTCTTAGTAATCAGTATTTAATGGTTTCCTGCAATGGTTAAAAACTTGCCTTATATTCAGTTAAATAGGACTGTAGCTCATTCTGTGAGCACAGACTCACATTCTGTTTGTATCCATGTTATGATAGCAGTTTTGCTTTTCTGTCAGATGAAAATAAAGCCCTGTCCAGCAACTTGCCTAAGAATTTAATAATTCCTGAAACTTTTCGAACTTAACATAAAGGTTGAATTCTTTCTTAAAAGGGTTTTTGGCATCTTCTTATCAGTGTTCTAACAGATTGTTCTATAGAATCAGATTAACCGTGACTAGCTGCCTTTCAAGCACAAGTATACGGCTTCTGAAATGGCCTGCGAGTTCTGAAAACTGGCCTGGAAAGAAATAGGTAACAGGAGAAACATATTCTAGAGAATGGTTCTAAATTTTGAATAGTGTAATGGGATAAAGCTATGGAACAATTCTCAAGATATGTTTGATTGCATTCTCTAATGCAATATTAGTAGGGCCCATTAAAAGCTTTGCTGAGGTAGCTTTGGCCACCTGCTGTGTATTGCATTGCTTTGTTTCACTGTGAAATTTTACTTTGATTTCTGAACATTTTCCTCCCTACATCCCAAATTTTAACTGATAATTTACCTCGAATGCTATTGAATAAGCTTAGTTGGTGCTGATGTTGTTTTAAAGTGATGTACCTAATGTAAAACATGAGTTTTCATAGATATACCTTATAGCCTGATTTTAAAAAAAATAAAAATCCACTGGAATATTTGAAAGAATACATATTTTTTCAGAATATGGTGATAGTATTCCAGCAAAAATTGTAACAATTTGAACCACCAGAATATGAGCGGTCATATTCTGTAATGATGGTTAAACAAATTCTCGCCTATACATGTTGAATTTCTTCTATATTTTCTAAAAATAGAAAAATTGTAGATAAGAATTCATACTTGCTGCAGTGAGCCACTGCTTCCTCCCTATCCTTTTCCCACACAAAGGAAAAATTAAGTAAAAAATTTATGAACTTCACCATTTCACATAGAAATCTGTAATGTAATTGAAATCATTCCTAAATCCTATAAAGAATTATAATCTGTATTTAGTCAAAAAGATATCATTTGTTTTGGTGACTTTTCATGGATGAAATGCAGCTTTTAGCTCAACAATTTTAAATGGCCATGTCATTGTTTACTGACAAGTGTGTACATGTTTGCATGTCTACCAGTTCACATATGTGTTGGAGCTTTTCCTTCTTCCTCAAATAGAAAAGGAACTGATTCTGATTGCAGGTTCCTCTTCAAATCTGAATCTGAACAACTTGCCAGATACAGTGAGGATAGGACAGGTTTCTCCATTGTGGATATTGGACATCTTGAAAGTATACATCAAGGCCTTGAGAAAGAAAGAACAAGTATTCATAAGTAAAGAGTAACTTTCTTCCCACTTACACATTGAGCAAATATCGTCTGACCTTCCAGTGAAGAAGCTGGTATTCTTGAGAAGAAAAGAATAGACATATTTGGGGCTTGTCAGCAAGTTTTTGTTGTTTTTTTTTTTTCCTGAGATGAAGAGTAGATTTGTACTGTTTTTCACCCACCTGGCTTGATAACAGTATTTTTGAAGAGGCATGGAAACTAGACTCTTATATCACTGAGTTCTGGGTACAGTGAGCAGGCAGGCTGGTTTTCTTCCTGTCTGGTCCTCTTCAGAAGTATCTTTGGCAAGATATTCAAAGTAAAGGAATTGGTTTCCTACATTCATTTTGCATTAAATGAAACAACCATACAGTTCAAGTGAAGGGTGTTCAACTCTCATTATTTTTAAGCCTGAAGAAGAAACTGGATTGACATTCTCATTCGGCACCTTTGAAGTCACTCACTTGCTTCAAGTACTTTGAGACTCCCAGCATTCTGATTTGAACCTTTCATTGGTTTGAGAGATGAGGACTAGATCTATGCTATTTTGTGAAGAAATTAGTTGGATAGTCACAGCACACTGGTGGCTCTAGATGTCACAGTTGGACCTTCCTGAATTCTCTATTCACTGTTTGTTTTTTCCTGTTGGCTTTCATGCAGTGCAGTAGGATTAACTTTTGCCAATAAGCTTTAATGATATCAGCATGCCATCTGCTATTGCCAGTAGTCTTCAGTCCTCCACATCATGGAATCAAAGACACAAAATCTAATACATGCTTTAAGCAAGATCTTTGAGCATTTTGGTGGCCTGCTTCTCAGCTATTTACCATATTTTAATCAAATGATTAAAAAATGTTTTGGATAATTTGTTTTGAGCATCCTAACAGCACGCCCAGAGCAGCCTAAGTGATGCTACAAGGCAATAGCTTTGATAGTGTGTATCTGATAGCATGCTAATCAGTGTTCAGGTCTGATGTCTTGCACTACCAAAGAGCCAAAGATGGTACATCTGGAATTTGACATACCCATAAGTTGTCCACATATTGCAGCTAGTAAGGAAGATGATGACTACAGTATGTGTTGCTTTTGACAACAGTCTTTCATTTCAGAGGTGCTGCTTTTATCTCCTAAGGCTGCTCTGGCTTTCATCCTACCCGGGACTTTGTCATCATTAAAGGGGTTCTGAGACACTCTCCTACTCAAATAGAAGAGTTTCTTTCCAAATGTCACTGCTGCACTGTCAGTTTTTATTATTGGCCTGACATACTTTTCACATAGCTGGAATAGGACCTCTGCTTTCTGTATACTGATGCTGAGAATTATTTGACAGTGCAGCTGAAACAGCAATATGCTGAAGGTTCTCTTGGCTAGAATTCCTCAGCCCCAAAGCAGGCCTTTAGGCTTGGTTTAGGTCTGTATTTGTCAGCAATTTATCCTGCATAAGCCCCTAGCATATTTTATATGTGCCTGGTGTGCATATTTAGCATTCTAGAGAAAGATGTCTAGAGCCATGCATAAATATCTAAGGTTTTCTGATGTATGCAGACCACGTGCATATACAGCAGTCTAGGCAACTAAATAACAAATAAGACAACAGATGTGTTATCTGCCACTTTCCAGATGCCCAAGTTCCACTTTCACTACTTGAATCATGTTCCGTCTATTATCCGGGATGTGCGTGCTCTCACAGACACCTGGAATGTTCGTCACCTGGGGTAGCACTGAAGTTGTAAAGTAAATACAGAAGTAAGATGTGAAAGTAGGCAGTGGCACTTCTGCTGGATGTTCTTGTTGCTGTCCAAGTCTCCCAGAATGCATCACTGCTTATGGAATGGAACTTGCTAATTTTCTGGTTTAAGTTTTTCTTGCATCTGTAAGTCTCTTAGTTGCAGTAGCAATTTCTGTTTGATCATGCTGCCAGCTGATAGGACAGAAGAAGGAGAGAGCATAGGGAATATGATTTAGGAATGTCAGGAATACTGATTATCTACCTACAGAGTTTTGGTTTTTTTTTAACTATTGCCACTGCTATTTCTGAAGCAGAAGTAATAATCCTTTATATTTCAGTTTGGTCTAGTGAGGCAGGGGAAAAAGAGGAATGCTCTGCTCAGGTGTAAGAAAGAGCTCTGAAAGATCTTGCAGTTGTGGATTACACCTCAATGGGAGAAGAAAGATGTGAGGTCAAAGAGGAAAGATCTCTCAAGAGACACGATGGCAGTGACTCTCGGTTCAGTTGTGAAATTCTGCATAGAACTTGAAATACATTTAGGTACATTATAGTGTTTTACTTACCTTGGCATGTAAATTAAATCAGTCAAGAACTTTTATTTACAATCAGATCAACATCTTTACTGGTAACATCCGTCCTTTGCTCAGTGCAGATGGCTGGGTTGTTTGTACTCTAGTATTCACCTAACACCACATACTTATCACAGCTGTAGTCTGTTCATTGTTAAAATGGGGTTTGTTAAAACTGATAGCATAGAGTTTACATGAGGAAAAGTGTTTACTTTCAGTATCTTGGGATTTTTACAATGATGGGAGCAAGAAATGTAGATTCATCCAGAAACAGGCAAAGGCCTATGTTCCTCAAAATCTGCTTTTTCTCTTGGTAATTGTATAGAGAGGAAATTATAAAAATTAACAGAATTTTTGATGTAATTTTACTAACACATTCTAATTATTTTTTTAAGAATTAATGCTTTTTATGTTTTTTAGGCTAGTTTTCTTAATGGCTTAGAAAGTAATAATGAAAGTGTTTTCAGTGTGCATTGAACGGCATTGGAGTTTTGAATGTGCTACTTGCATCTCTCTTTGAATTGCCTAAAGACATTGATCAGTATCAGCAATACAGATTTTAGCGGATGGATTATTTATCCTATTTTTTTCCTGAACTTTGATGTCAGTGAATTGCTGTTATGTGTATTTATGATCTACATTGGCCTAGAAATTAGTAAACAGTATAGCAGCTGCTGGGAAAAAAAAAACCAACAGTTTTATTTTGACCAGTTGGGCTGTTTTCTGACCCTATGTCAAAGAATTGACTTTGAACAGTATAGACAGAGATTTTGGGTAGAACAGAAGAATGTGGTGAGTAGTGGTTTTTATAGTTCTGGGGGGTGCATTTCAGCAAGGTAGAACAATTGGGAACTACGGACAATGATTAGATGACAAAGTGAGAAAAGAACATGGTGAATTTTCTCAAAATGTGAAGTTGTTGCTGCTGAGCTATTCTTTGAAATGTTTTAACAACAATAAGTCATTGAACTAATTATCTCTTTCTTTTTATTTCATTCTGATTTATAGAAAATTTCACCTTGGGTAGGTTTACGGAAGATCAATATCTCCTACTGGGGATGGGATGACATGTCTCCTTTTACCAATACAACTCTGCAGTGGCTTCCTGGAGAGCCAAATGATTCTGGCTTCTGTGCGTATCTAGAAAGAGCAGAGGTGGCAGGGCTGAAAGCAAATCCATGCACTGCAATGGCAGATGGTCTTGTGTGTGAAAAACCTGTCGGTAAGCCATCTCTTATACTCAGTTACAGTTACTGTCATGATTAGCAAGCTTGTTTGGGTTTTCATTTAGTTAAGAGGAATTTTTTGACAATTTAGATTAAATAATTACAAAAAATATGTATGTATTGTTTTAATCTAGAGCTTTAATATAGAAAACAAATAATATTCCTAAAGCATGAAATAGTTATTTGTGAATTAGTTTACATGACTTAGTTTGCATTACACCAGAAGTCTTGTAAGTTGCCTCTAAATCAGTAGTAGTCAGTGACAACAGTGATTGGGTGATTGTAGTATGAAAGTGAATGTGTTCAACAAGTCTTATGTTCAGTGAGATTCGGAAAGAAAACATATTCAACATTTTAGTGGTCTGAAAGGCTGACAAACCAAAATCCTTATTTCTATCTTGTAGGTTTATTTATGGATGAGGACGACTATGGCAAATAGTCACTTGACAGTTCAAATTAGCATTTTCATGCTCTGATTGTCCTATGTTTCTCTTCATAGCTGTGGGGTTGAGCACATGAAGTTCTTTACCCCTTCAGATTTGTTTTGCGCATTGTTTGTGCAAAACTGGAAAATAACTGCATTGTTGGTGTGTTGGGAACACTGCCTGTCAATCTAATGGTGTTGCTGTGAAATTGTCCAAGTTGTTAACCTGCATAACAAAAGTGATCTAACCAATTCTTTATTCTCTTCAAAGCAGTTCCAAATAGTGATGTCATTGTAAAGTGTACATAGTACGTTTCTTGCTACTGCCATCTATAATTCCTAAAAATGTAATCTTTCAGTGTTCTTAATATATCTGCAGATGAAGACTGGTTTGAGAACTTGGCTGGTATTGAATATGAATCAATAATATATAAAACCATGTTAATATATAGGAGGGCTTGATCCCAATGTTTCACAAGGCTTTTCTGCATGGAAAATATAGTGCTATGTATACTCTTGTGTTCCTACCTAAGAATTACTGTGCTGTTGTACACATAACAGTTTTATTTTAAATCAAAGCGCAAATCAGGAGTTTTAGGGTATACAAGCTCTTTTTATGTGTTATGAATTTCTGAGAAGACATACGCCATTAACTCAGTCAGAATGTGATCTCTAATAGAGAAAAACAAACAAAAAATACCTGAACCTGAAAAACCCTTAACAACTGAAAGAAAACCCCTCCGAAACAAATCTGTTCTGCATTGAACAATATTTCTTTAATTACTTTCCCATTGGATTCTAGTTACTTCCGTATGTACACTGTATGGAAAACTTTTAGGGGATAAGTCAGTCCTGAGTAGAATATTTTTTGCTTATACACTGTTGAAGTAATGAGAATGATTGATAGATCCAGAACTCGACTGTACTTGTTATAGGAGTTTGAGACGTATTTTGTCATGGATGTGCAAGTAAACAACTAAGCTGATGTTACCAGGCAATGAATATTAAATTATATAAGTATATAGATGAAATTGCTGGGAAATGTTTCAAATGGACTCTTAGAGCTATAGTGTGACTCGTGCTGAGTATTACTTAATAATTTTTATAGAACTTTATTATATTTATATATTGTAACATAACTTTGAGTGAAAATATTCATGGCTATTTAAGGACCCAACCAGTTTAAGAAGAGTTGTTCTAATGGAACATGTCATTAAAGGAAATTGAATCTGTCTTCAAAATTATAAATGTGATTCTTTTCCAGTCAGTCCCAACCAGAATGCCAGACCCTGCAAAAAACCATGCTCCTTGCGAACGTCGTGTTCTAACTGCACGAGTAATGGTATGGAATGTATGTGGTGTAGCAGCACGAAGCGATGTGTTGACTCAAACGCCTATATAATCTCCTTCCCATATGGACAGTGTCTAGAATGGCAAACTGCCACATGCTCCCGTGAGTATCTTAATGAACAGCAATCCTATTAAATATACTGCTATATTTGTTGCCACTCAAAAGTGCATCTATGAGTAGGATTCATCACTAAAGATAAAAATAATTTCAAATGAATGTCTTTATATAGCTTCCAATCTGAGCAGCCAATACTCTGTGTGTGTTTTCTAGATACAGATAAAATACTGGCAATTCTTTTCTGATGAAACATTTAGTCTTCTGAAACAGCAAAAAGTGCTATTGTTTTCAATAGACTTATACAACATTAAGTTATTAAAATAAATCATAGAATAATACACCTCTTTATTTAATAAGGCAAGACAAATTTAGTGTTTTTAAGACTCTGATTCATTCTGTCAGGTTCAAAATAGTACATTTTCCTAGCATGCAAAGATGAAAATAATGTTACAGTCATGATAGTAGTAGTAGTCTTGAGAATATTGTAACACAGACGTAAACAAATGGTTTTGGTCTTCCTTAGATTCTTCTCACTTGCCAATGCTGATTATTAACCCTTGCAGATTATTTATCCTTCGTGGCAACAAGGAATTCTGTTAGGCCAGCAGGCCCATAAAGATGTGCAGGAAACTTGTCCTGTGTGATCAGACTGGGTCAGGCTGTATTAATGTTCAAGGTTGCTCATTTCATTCGTTTGAGGTAAAATACAAGTGATTTGTTACTTTGTCAAGCAGTAAAGGTACTTCCCAGGTGTCTTCTTCGGAAGCATATTTCATCAGAAATTGATACTATGCTTCTCTAGGAGAGTAAGAAACCTACTCATTGTACCTTTCAGTGTACCATTCAGCTGAAGCTACTTCTTTCCAAGTCTGTAGTGACTGGACCTGGTAAGTTCAGGAGCATTCAGTTCCAATGTGTATCAGTGCCATAATTCATGTAGATGCTGGAGCAAGCTGCCTGGTGCCTTAGATTTTTGCCTCCGTCATGGTTTATTTAGAGCAATTCCTCAGTCACCTTCCTACAGAAGACTGGTTCTTAGTATTTTTACCATCCTTTAAGATTTGACTCAGTATTTTCTACTTGTCTAGTGGGACCCAAACTTAGTATATAGGAATTCTGAAGTGTACTGTTGAACTCTTGTTGTTGTGCTTCTCTGTGAGAGTGTTTTTCTAGTTACTTCCAACTTCCTTTCCCTTTTTTGATATCAACATCTCTGGAACATTTCTGGATACATTGTGGCAGGATGGATGACGTTGACAGCAAGAAGCAACTTGCTGCAGGGTCCTAATAACATCATGATTCCATTTAATAGATTATGGATACAAATGCAAAAAAATACAAAAGGTAGTTACTTGATTTCACCTAAGCCTCAGGAAAATATTAAGTAAGGCCCTGCCTTGTCTGTAATAGGAACCATTTATATAATCTTATTTTAGGAGAAGAGAATGACTATATGTATCAACCCCCTACATATATCTGGGTTAAAGGAAACTAAAGTGTAGGAAAATTTTTCTTTCAGGTAAAACTGGCCAAGTCCCTTTATTCTTCTTAATTAATAGATTCCTTCTTTATTAAGAGAATCATCTTAATTAAGAGATTCCTTCTTTATCCCTAGTACTTGTAGAATATAATGAACCAGCACAATGTTGATTTGTTCTGCTAAACTTTTATGCTTAGTTAGTAAATTTTTGGTGTTAATACAGATTCTGGAGTCCAGGTGTGGACTAAAAGTAGGGTTAACATGGTCCTTGGGTCCTTATGTCCTCTAAACCCAGCCGTCAGCCCATGTTTGGCGTAAGAATAAAAAATAATAGGAGCAGTTAATTTCTTGTCCTATATATTTAGGATAATAAGACCATAATTGTGTAAAGGTTTCTCTCAACAGTTCCGTAAACCTTTTTTTCACTCCTGTAAGGACTCAATTTTGCAGCTTCTAAAATAATGAGTGTGTTGTGGTGTAAGATAAGTAGATTGGAGATAATATTGACACAACGCATATGCACCATGCATAGCTTTTTAAAATAGCATGTATTATGTCAGCCTGAACTTTTAATCATGTTTTTGTTTGAACATCATGAAAAATTGAGTTTGTTTGCAGAACACACGAAATTGTTCTTAATATAATTGTCACTTATATCAGGTCTGTAAAAGTTTTTATTAAATGAGGCAAACAGGATTTGCTATGTACTAGTGCATCATTATGTAAAGGCAGTTTTGTATGAAAACTTATTTTCTATTCAACAACTTAAAAGAAAACAAACATAAAACCACAGTTGTGTGCCCATAAGCAGGTTTGTTTTTTGTCAGAGTTTTAAAGTTTTAGTCATTTTGCATTTAAGCAAGAAAATGATTGTCCAAATGTAAGATGATTCAGGCGTTGTTTTGCTCTGAATGACTTGAAAACTTTCATAAATAGATGCAACATTATTGCTGCTGAGGTAATGAAGTATTAAGTGGATTGTCTTATGAAGGGGTAGTGTTTCTACTTGAAGAACGGAAGTAACTATATCTTTAAAATTAATTTTATTTTGATTCTGACTGATTAATGAGGTTTTGGATGTTTTACTCTGAATGAAAAAAAATCGCACAAGCATGTATGATTTCAAACAGAAAATATAACAGCTGAGAACTTCACATTTATTTTCACAACTTGGCATTAAAATGAAGAACGCTGTTTTATTGGTGACATTTTGTCATTTTAATACCTGCTTGACAAAAAGTTGCATTCCACTCTTTCCCCACATCCTTCCATCCATTATGGCTTTTGATTGAATAGCTGGCAGTTGAGCAATCTTGGACCACCTCTAGAATTTCAAAGCAGGAAAGACGTTTCTGCTTGAATATACTCTTTTTCCATAAACAGTAACTTCTCTGCTCTCCTCAGTGTTTCAGCTGAATGCCACTACAGAGATTGTCTGAGGATTTTCGCTTTTGGTTCTATCTTCTATGAAGAAGGTGCAGTTGATACTTCAGATCTGTTTTCTCCTAGCTTCATAAATAACAGCATGAGAATTGCTTGGATCATTTACAGTGCATCGCTAAAAGGGCAAGACAGTCAGTACAGGATGGCTCTCTTTCTTTTCCTGTTGATCCTCTAGTGTATTCAAACCAGAAAATTTGTATCATTCAGCTTCGGATCTGATGAGGTCTGGTGTAAAACTGATCCTTCACATGATTGATGTTGATTTCCAAGAACAATTGAGATACCTGCATTTCCTTTTTTCCATATTTGGGAAACTTCAAAAATTTCCTTCTTCCAAGTCTAATGATAGAAAGCTCATGCTCCAGCTTTCTGCACTGTTGAAGTCCTTTTGAGATCACATTCAGGTTCTTAACTGCCTGTTTTCTTGTTATCTGCATACATCTTTAAACTGCTGGATTATTTTTTTCTGTGACAACTTTCATAAATTTTAAACAATTTTAATAATTGTTGAAGTCTCAGTAGCTGCCATTATTCTGCTGTCAGTTAATTTAATTGGAAACAAAATTGTTCTGCTTAGTATACTCTTTACAACATGGATTCAGGTATTGCCTTTATGGTGGTCCAAGTAGCTGAGATCATTAGTTGGATATAGTGTCCTGGCTGCAGCTGAGCCACATTAAGAGGTTACACTCATGTAGAAGCCCTTTGAGTGTCCTCCAAAGAAAACCCCACATATCTTTAAACTACTTTCTTCCTGGTACAGTCTTCCTGAAGCTCGTTTATGCTTTTAAAATTTATGTTTTAAGTGCCCGCAAACATAATGTGACAAGAGACAGGGCCCCATAGTGATCAATGTTCTAACGATTCTGATGTTAGTTTGATTCAGTATTGCATCATTAGTTTAAAAAGATGTAGCAGAAAGAGCTCAAATGAACTTGAGAACAACAGTGGTGTTCCTGAAGGTACTAAATTGTTAATTTTTTGTTAATAAGAAATAGCAGTAACTTCGGCGTAGTCATTTTGATTCTAAACAGGCTTAAAATATGAGGCAGACCGTTTCATGAGAAATTAAATAATTTAAACATAGTGTCTAGGGAGAGACTTGATTTTTAGTATGCAAATTAAAATGCTGATTTATTCGTAACAGATGAGACTCTGAAGATATAGTTCAATTAAATAGGATGGAATTATGACTTGTAGCTTAAGATCCTTAAGTTTTGGGAAGATGCGTACTATGTTAGCTCATTTCAGAAGTTCTGTGTAAGAAAATTGGGTTGTATTTGTGGATGAATTCTCAGGTGTGATCCCAGGATACTTTGTGCCACCAAAAAATTATAGTTTGAATTATGGGTTTAAACTGAAACACGGTAAGTTCAGGTTAGATATAAGGAAGAAGTTCTTGACTGTGAAGGTGGCGAGGCACTGGCACAGGTTGTCCAAAGAAGTGGTAAATGCTGCACCCCTGGCGGTGTTCAAGGCCAGGTTGGACAGAGCCTTGGGTGACATGGTTTAGTGTGAGGCATCCCTGGCCATGTCAGGGATTGGAACTTAGTGATCTTAAGGTCCTTTCCAACCCAAACCAGTCTGTGATTCTATGAACTATGGGAATGGTTGCTTGCATCGGGAAAATCCGTAATATATGCATAACATGATATATATTAATACGAAGCATATAATGTATATTTTTATCATGAGATTTGCCTGTCTCATTATTTTTGTTGATTTGAAATCTTTGTTGTGACATTGTGGTGCACTTTATGATCTTTGAAGAAGTACAGCTTTTAAAGAAAATGTAGATACTACTGTTACTGAAATTTTTAATATGCAGAAGGAAATAGAAATGTAAAATTGGGGTTGTAAAATCCCAGTGTCTCATTTAGAAAAAAAGCAACAAACCAAAACTCCCTCTTGCATTAATATTATACTCCATGTAATGCAGCTCAAAACTGCTCTGGACTGAGGACGTGTGGACAGTGTTTGGAACAGCCTGGGTGCGGATGGTGTAACGATCCCAGTAACACTGGGAAAGGGCAATGTTTGGAAGGATCATCACGAGGCCCAATGAAGGCAGTTGGCATGCACTCTAATGAAATGGTGCTTGATGCTAGTCTCTGTCCAAAAGAGAAAAACTATGAGTGGTCTTTTATCCAGTGTCCAGGTAAGGCCTGCGTCCATTCTTTCTTTTGTATGAAATAAGAAATGCTTCTCTGTTTAAGTATCCCAAATTAACATAATTATTTTGAGCAATACAGATAACATTTGCATGAGGAATTTGTATTTCCAGAATATTTCCTAAGTATGGAGTTTGTTAGCCTCTTGTTTACTGAACACAAATGTGCTTCCTGTCCTGCAAAGTCGCATGTGAAATTTCATGGAAATATTTTAATCGAAACTGCCATTTTTTTTTTTGTAAATAAGTTTCCACACGTCCCGTTGTTTTATTTTTCAAATCTAACAATATGAATTTGCTCTGGCTCTTGCTTTCTTCTGGCTTCTGTATCCATCACAGGAAAGCTCAGCTGTGGAGACATTAGGTAACTGATGATGCCAGGAGGTGTGAACTTCCTGCATCCCTGGTGCTCGCATGAAAGTCCAGCTGACTGTGAGAACAGGAGGCTGCAAGTCTCTGAGCTGTGCCTCTCAGTCCATCTCTTTCACATTTGGTGTAAATAGGATGTATGCTTTTATCATCTTAAAGAGAATCTAAATTTAACTGATATGATTATAGTATTTTAATCATTGCAAAAGAAAGCAAGATGTCAGGTGCTTGAAGAGGGTGGAAGCTGAGCTGGTACAGCTCAAATCCTGAAAGCCCTGTGAGAAGCAGCAGCATAGTAGTGCAGGCAAATGAAAAGCCCACTGGGGAGTTTGACAGACCTGCAGTGGTAATTTACAATAAATAATACCGTTTAGAAACTTTTTTTTTTAGAATAAATGGTGTAATTGTGCTAAAGGCATTTTTCCAGCAAATGTTCCTACTGCTGATAAATTTGGGAGCTGGAGCTTCTCTAGGATCAGAGCTCTTATGGGTACGTGCAGCAATGTTTGCTCTGATGTATGTGTACTAATGTATATATATTTATATGTAACTGTGTGTATCACTGCATTATTTAGAAAGCAGAATCTCTGAATAAATTTTTATTTTGGTAACTTTCTTTTTTTGATGCAGACATGGATAGTAGATATTTTGTAAAGTTTTAGAATAATGAAGGAAACGTAAAGCCAAATGTAAATGGTCTTAAGTTCAAACTGAAACATTCCTGACTATCTAATACGATTTCCTGAACCCAGAAGCCTCTAGCAAATTCCTGGAAATAGGAATACATTTCCATACATTACATTGTATGGGAACTTCATTACTTACTCTGTTAGAATACAGCCAGGCTTTTATTTTTAGTAAGTGCAATTATTAGACTTTCACTGCAATACACAGTATCTACCATCGGTGAAATTGTGATGGGTAATATACTGGTTGTCTAAAATGTTTGAGTTAGCAGATTTTACCCTCTTATTGGTTTAATATTTATTCTTTATGGATAATGTTCTGTAATCATTCTATGTTCTAACCAAGCATTCTCTGAAATTTTGAATTTAAGAGACAAATTAAATTTGATTGGTATAGGCTGTAGGCTTTTACTTAAGCTTTACATTTTCTTAAAATACTGTCTGTAATGGATTGTATTTACAAAGTTTATTATTCTTACTGCAGCAATCATTTGATGTTCTTGAAATAAGATAGAATTGATACCAAGGCTATATAAGCTTATGGAACCGTTTTTAGTTTCAACGAAAGTAAAAATAAATAGCTTATAGCATGTAGCTTTAAGATTATTCTGTCTCAGTGATGAACAGTTGGCTAAACCATTCATGTTTGTTCATGTATGTACTTAGTTTTCCTTGTGGTTTGTATCCATCTTCTTTATAGTGCCTTTGGGCAGTTGTCTTGGTTATAAGTGTTTTAAGTTCATTATCATTCTCTGTTCGAATCTTTAAAGGTAATATCAGGTAGCCCAAGCTTGTCTTTAAAGTCTAAATTTCTCTGAAAAGAATTGTGAACTGATTATAGCTAGTTAGTGTAAAACTAGATGAAGCATCTTTACACTAAATCCAGAGTTTAATGCAGGCACACATTTTATATATTTTCCTAGTATTAAATATTTTCTTAAAGCTAGAATTATCAACAATTTTCAGCATCACCAGCCATTTCAACTGAGAGGTCAAAAGCAAATTAGACATAAAATCGTTTATATCCTGAGCAGCCTCACTTGAAGATTCAGCTAAATCACATTTGTATGCATGAGGAAAATAACTGTTGCTGCTACTGATGTACATTAAAATCACTTAAAGAAAAAAATTACCTCTAAAAATTGAAATCGTAGTTCTCATTCAAATGATCATTACAGTGTCTCATTATTTTAATTACTATTTTAATTATTTAATAGTGATGTTTCCAGTTTGATTGCACTTGTCTGTATCATAGGAAATTGTTGAACTGTGCAATTCGTCTGGCTTTTAATTTTTCTCAATGAGATACATATTTTTAGGAAAACCAGCAGATACATACTACCACTTTTGGTGTGCTGTGGCAATCATAGATAGCTTTGGTTCTTATTATATATCTATTTTTGAATCAGTTTTAAGAACTTTTCCATTTACTTTGCCTTAACAAAGTGTAAGAATTAAGAGCTATCATATATGAACAGGTAGTATAATATGACTAGCAGCAAACTAGAATTCACAATAAGAAAATTGATTAATTACGATTGCTATCCTTTAAATGACACAAAAATTCAGGAATGCAAAGTAAACCATTAGGGAGCATAGAAAATGTATAAATCAATGAGCCAATAGTTGGATTATCAGAAGGAAACATTTTCCCTGTATTATAATCCATTCCGTATGTTATCATCTTACTCTGCTTTAATAGAACACCTATTTAATGCACCATCTCCTTTTTCTCTTGGTTTATTGGGCTGCATTTTTTTTTTTTAACATTTCCTTTAATATTACACATAAATTTTATGTGTAAGACATGAATAAAACCCAAAATGGAGCTGCAATTCACGGTCTTTTGGTATAGCTTTTTCTGAGAAAGGCAACAAACCACACAATGGTGAACTGCTGGAGGAGCGCACCAGAGAGTTGTCTAAAAATCAGGTATTCAGAGGAAGAATGTAACTTGTAGCTTCTAAAAAGATTTAGTCAAGGTAGAAAACTTTCAAGTAATATAGAAATGTTTGATACTTGTTTACAAGGTTCTATAGGCATAACTGGAGAAAAAGGAAGAGATTGTAAACTTGGGAGGTTTAATGGTTCATGAGTTTTATTTATAGCCTGGCAATGGCTATAAATATATAAGTTACTAAATTCTAAAACAGGTCAAAACCCATTTAAATCATGCAGTGACAATATCTTTTTTTTTTTTTTTTTTCCTGTAGCCAAGACACCAGTCACTGGGACGTTTAGATTAGAAATCCAAATTAAAAAAATACCCTTATGATCTTGCTGAGATATAGCTGTCCTCTCCTGAGTGTTAAACATCCTTTGCCAGTAAGGGATTGAAAGGTTTGACATGGTCTGACATTTGACAAGCTGCTGTAATTGACAGATTGCTAATCTACTGAGCACTAGGAGCTCTGGGGTCCCACTCTAAGGAGAGGTCATCCTTCAAAACCTCTTAGTTGTTCAGCCGAGTTTTGGCAGCAGAATCGATGACTCTGGTAGAATTCATGTTGTGATTTTGCTGCAATAGTGGTCAGTAGTTTTTCTGAGTTTCTCCAAAGTGCTGAGCACTGGAGTGCAGGTGTGGTGGTGTTTGACAAAAAGCAGTTTTATGCTTCTAAGGTCAGGTATAAAAAACGTATGTCAACAGGAGTCCAGTTCTTTTTTACTTTTAACCAAAGTCAACTGCAGCGAGGAGAGACTGGAGCTGTATGATGTGGTCCTCATGTCCTTAAAACCCTATAGTGTGCTAAAGCTAATGTGAGGGTTAGAACTGTTAAAAATTAGACTATCTTTAGTTAATCTTGTAAGTTCTCTGTCCCCAGTAGATGTAAGGTTGAGTGTGAGTTGTTCATGTTCTCCACTACAGTTGCCTGTCAAATGCTTCACAGTGGATTGCATATAGGTGTGGAGGTTTTAATTTTGTCTCAGTTGGTGCCTTACTGCCACTTAAAAGGTTTATTGAGTGACCAGGCAGCATTTTAAAGCTATGAGGATTGGATTTAGTCCCTCAAAAATAGCAAAAGAAGACTTTCTCACACACTTCAATCTCATGTGTCACTAAACTGTTAACTTTGGTGGTCTTTGGTCTGAATTCTTGTTTTATCATAATGCCATTTTAAAGTGATTCTCTGTCAAAACACAAATATATATGCTGGTCATTAGTCAGCAAAATAAGCTACTGTAATTTTGTAATAACATAGGAAAGACTTTGTTCTCAAGAGCAATTTATAAATGGCTTTTTTAATGTTATATTCTAGCCTGCCAGTGTAATGGCCACAGCACCTGCGTCAACAGTAATGTCTGTGATCAATGTAAAAACTTAACAACAGGAAAACAATGTGAAACATGCATGCCAGGATATTATGGGGATCCCACAAATGGAGGACAGTGTACAGGTGAGTTGTTCTGGGAGGAAAAAAGAGTAATTAAAGTGACATTTTATGTAATGTGAATTTAACTTCTTAAATGTAACGTGAAATTAACTTCTCTTTAAAGGTTAAATGTTTATTCATTTTGCAGTTGTTTTTTAGTCTGGATACTCTAAGAACAAGGTGGTAATTTAAAGATGCTTTGCTAGTTAGGGAAGGGAGCAAAAATAAACACTCTTGTGGGAGCAACACCTTAAATCCTGATATTTCAGAGGCATAGTTTAATTCCATGTAGACAATCCTATTAAAAGCAATGAGAAGGTACTTATAAATGAAGTTCACTACCATAATGTCTGATAACACTGATTTACATAAATGTGTAATGCTAGTGTAAAAGCAATGCCTTTAACAGACCAACAAATCTGTATAGTTCAAACAGAAAGGCCTGGTACACTGAGGATTGTAAGCTACCCTAAGCTATCCAATCTGTTTTTGTAATTGCTGCATTGCATTGGAGGATTCTCCTTGAAGTGAGAGAGAGAATGAAGTCCAGTACTCCAGATGGTTTATGTATATTGCAATAAAGTGATTTTAAATCTGACAGTAACCCCTTCCCTTATAGCTAAATATAATAGGGGAATGAGAGATGTTAAACGTGAAAAGTTATTAAGGTACTTCAGATTGAATCTAGGAGGGTGCTAGAAAGTTTTCTCTTGACTTTTTCTTCTCTATTATTGATGTTTCTTTAACTAGACCTTTGCTTCTCAAGGAATATTTATTCATTTCACTTGTTATTCAGCACTTCAAGATGCAGTAGTCAATGCATAAAGCTGCACATCTGGTAAACTCAGGCACAATATGTAGAAAGTGTGTTCAAGGGAATGGAAAGATTAATGTCTACCCCTATTGACAATTGCACATTCCACTGGCTCTTTATGATGCTTTAAATAATTCTTAATAGTTCTCTTATTTCCTAAAGTTGACAAAATGTTCTTTTGCTGTCTAGATCACCTTTATGGCAAAATGATGTATTAATATAACTTTTCTTCTTCAGGGATACATTAGCTATCAACCAAATAAGCATTCCATCACCTTTAGTGAATTATGTATGGTGCAGTAATGGCTAAAATCAATTGATAGGACCAGTAAAATTATAAATTTTATGACTTGTTTTTTCAACCCTAGTCTGTAAGAATGCATAATTTTATTGAAAGGCAGGATTTTAACAGGAGCTATTTAGGCTAAAGAATGCTTTAAAAAATAAAGATGATAATTATTTTGAGGCTTTATCTGCATTGGTATATTGTATTTTGCAGTATAGAGCCCATAAATCTGTTTAAGTCTTTAAGACGTTTTGATGAATTGGGTATTTTGTACTGTTAGATTTTCCTTCAATATCAGAATTTTTGTTCCTTGGAGCTCTTGAGTTGTTTTTTTTTTGAGGATCAAGATGGAGAGCTTTTTAAAGGAAGATGAGGATAATGACTATAACTCTTAAGCAACATCTGTAATGCTATAATATTGTTCATATAACAAGTTACTCCAGTTACAAGGCTGTAATGTGGTTATGAATTAGTGAGCAGTTGAAGCTGGAAAAAGAGGTTGTACTTGAATTCTACAGTTGAAAAGCAAAGTGGTGCACACTGGGAGAAAAGCTAAGAATTATTACTTTGTAATGTACTCATGATATATGACAAGGAATGTTTTTCCCAGTGTCCTGACAAAAGCATGCAGTACATTTAAGTATTCTGCTGTTGTGATATATGTACTTCTAGGTAAAATCTGACCTCCCAACTTAGTTTGACTGTTGGTGATACAGTTTCAAAAGATTTGCAAGAAAAACTTCCTTTTGTTTTCTAGGCTGGATTAGCCTTGTTGGTCCTTAGATCCCTGATAATCTTGAAAGGAAGGGGAAAGAGATGCATAGCAAGTCTTTCAGTCCTTGGAAAACTTTTATTCCTTCACTAATTCTAATCCTTTCCTAAATCCTTCCTGTTTATACTTCTAGGAGGTCACTCAAAGCTCTGAAAGAAACTGACTGTCCAACCCTGAGTGGTCAGTTCTTTTCTGACTTTTGTCTAGGTATGGGAACTCTGCACAAATATAAGTGTATTCCTCATTCTACTCAGGGGATAATGATGCCTTCACAACTGTCATCGGATAACTGATACATTCATAGTGGTATAGCATAGTGTTACATTTACAAATTACTGTGGGATGAGTAACAGTTTTTAGAGGAAAAAAGTATAATTCATATTTCAGAAGGTGTTGAATAGTTGTGATTAAAGAATGGATGAAAAATTTGACTTTTCTGGATTTCTGCTTACTATAATTGCTGATATTTTTAATAGCTTTAAAACAAATGTAAGGACCCTCTTTGCATCCTGATATGATGCAGGTTTAGTAGATATGACAGACCTAAAAAGAAAGACGAAGAAAAGATGGCGGCATAATAGCAGGCTTCAAATATGTGAAAGGAAGCTGAAAAGAGAATGATAAAGTGCCTTCCCCCCACATCCCTGTTCTGGTTGAGAAAGGAAGTAATGGGATTAGATGAGAAATACTAAGGTGGAATACAGGGAAAACTTCCTACTAGCTAAATGATAAAATAGATTGCCTAAAAAGTGCTGTGAAATCTGCTTTGTCACCTACACTATATTCTTAAAATCTTCAAACTTCCTGGCTTTAGAAAAGGGCAGTGGACTGAGTAATTCCATGTGTTCTTCTCCAGTCCTGATTTTCAGAGGATTATTGGGAGTCTGAGATCAAGAATGCTTTGAGTAAAGATAAATATTTCCATTATATAAGAAAATGATCTATGTATAGCAAAATGACCATGGATATTTACCATACTGTGAGTGTTTAATGTTTCTTAGTCATACATATTACTTATTTTGGAATCTGTAGCATTTTTGCTATTGTGGTGTTAAATAGCTTTCCATCTAAAGCAGGTTTACTCTGTGATTGACGCTCTAGTTTATTTTCCCTGTCAGAAGTGTGGCATGTTGGTTGTTGAGGGGCAATATTTTGGCAATGATCATATTTCCTACCATTAAGTGATGAAATAATTTTTTTTTCTTAGAAAAGCATGCCTAATTCTAATTATTCATTTAAATTCTGTCACTTGAAGTATCTCTACAGGTAATGAGTTAGTTTGTATTCTTGGTGTATACATGATCTTTACGTTAAGTAACCCTAACGTGTCTTGCAGGGAAGATGTATACACTCCTTCGATTCTTGATGACGTTTCATTTACACATATCTAGTTTGAGTTACTTAATTTGACTTATTGCTGCATTCTATAGTAAAATCAGTAATAAATTGCAAAAATCTTTTGTTAAAGTTATGTGACTGCAATTTATTACAGTTCTTAATACTAATTAATATTACTGTTCTTAATATTAATTAAACGTGGTTTCAGGTAGTTATGATGCCTGTGACTTGAAACAGGTAGCTAAAATACAAAACTAAATTATATTTTTTTACATGATATTATTGTATATGTTTAGTTACACAAAAAGATTTGCATTCTTTGTTGGAAATAAATGATACACAGTGCACCACTTAGTAAGTCCAGGCCCTTTGTGCATGCTTCAGAGCTGTAAGCTAAAGCCCCTGTATGGCAAAGTGTATACTGATAGTACCATCAAAGTTACCACCTAAAATTACAGCATCCTTTTTAAGGGTTGGCTCAGTATGCAAGAAGACATCAGGGAAGCCAGAGGTGAATTGAGAATATGAGGGAATAGAGTGCTGTAGCAAGGAACAGGTTTTGTGTTCCACACCAAGCTCCAGTTTTGTTGTGGAACAACACCACCAAACTTTTCTCTGATTGATTTTGAGTGCAAGTGCATGAGCAGCCTTGGAGTGCTAAATGCAGTGCTGTCAGTCTGTGCCAGAAATATCTAAGGATTCAAACCCTCTAGTGATTTAACAGAATAAGACACACTCGCACTGTGTTGTGATAAGTCTTAGGTGAGAGGTGCACAGCTCAGGCTTGTTTGCTTCTGTAAAACAAGGTAAAGCTGTCCAGATGTAGGAAACATAGGAAGCCTTGTAGACTGAGATGCTGAACAGTTGTAGGGCAGATAATCCAGTCACTTTGATGTTGCTTGTGGGTATTTCCTTTTTGTTTTGTTTTGTTATTCTGCTCACGTCCCTTTTGGGGTACAGTTTTGAAAGCATAAATACAAAAATTCAGTAACAGAAAATCCATCATTAAATATTGATGGATTTTTGAAAATAAAACAGCTTTGTGGATGGGAACAGATACTGGCTTGCTGTCTTGGTGGTTTCTCTTGACGTTCTATATTCTTCAAGGTCTCATTCTGCCATGTACTTCATGACTGGGAAATACGCAATGTTTTTATGCTATTCTAGTAAAAATAGTGTTATATGTGCACTGCAGACTGCAGCATAAAGTAACAGGAGAAAACAGCATGGGAGATTGCTTGGAATACTTTTGTGTCATCTTGGCAATATTTTTTAGCATTATTTTCAAACATTAATCATCTACTTAGCTGTCAATGCTCAAATTAGCTACTTATCTCTGATCATTTTTTTATGCATGGTATTTTTAACAGGAACTCTTAGAATGCATGAGATGCTGTGAGAATTCTGCACAGTCACTTAAGACACACTGTGAATGTGTAATAAACTCAGCAATAAGATAACGTAAGCACTTTGCTGTCTTGCCATTTTTTTCATAAAGTGAAACTATCCCAGACAGTGTTCAGTTTTCCTATAATTGTACTACCAGTGCTGTTGCTTTTAAAGTAAACTGTGAATACCGGCACCAGCAAGAACATGTTTCAACTTGCACCATTAGCTTTCTAAGCAGGCTTAAAAGATAACAGCATTTAAGACAGTGACCATGCTGTAAAAACCTCCTCCCAACTAGGCTGTGTGGGTGAAGTTCTTTAAGCAAATCTGTAGCATTTCTATTGCCTTTATAGATCTGTCCCTTTCTCTGCTATAACACAGGTGGACACTAACAATACTAAAGGCAACAACTTCCCATTACGGTT